CCTGGAAAAATTGGTTATGTTGAAAGAAATAAAGACCAGATATCCCCTCAAACAAAGGAAAAGATACATCGAAGAATCTAGGAGTGAATTTGTTCAAGCTGCTCAAATAGAGTTATATAAAGGTCATTTACGCTTTTAAAGGTGAATAGTAAACGATCAATTTTACATGATTAAATACAAAATAATAAGAGCTTACCCATCTTCTACACTTATGTAATTCGAAAATTGGACAATTTTTTTCACTTAGTTACCAATAGATTTACCAGCTAAGTATTAATTCCGTATACACTAAATTTTTCTTCTTCTATTATGAGATTATGCAATATTTCTTTCCATTCTCTTCACTAATGTTTAGTAAACATATTGATTTAACATCGATCAACCTTGCATTGTGATAATTTATCGATCATTCTGTTAAGTGGCTGTATGTATGTGGGTATATATGTGTATGTGTAACAGAAGAACAAATATTATGTTTTGTGTATTACACAGACTTCTTTGTTGTCATTTGTATCGAAATATAAAACGAAATCAGAGAGAGAGAAAGAAAAAGACTAGTCTGACTTCAGATGACAATATAAGGCAAATCCTGAAACAATAAAATATGCTTAGCTATAAGCGAAATTCGCTATTCTATTGGTACTGTAGTATGTATGAGTACAATTCATCGAGAATAAGTTACACCAAGTTCAACATCTGTTTCTTTCAAGTTTATGATCAATGACGTGAATCATTATCTGTTTGCATTTGTTTAATAATCGCTACTCGTTGTTCATGTCTTCGATCTTCCACTTGATCAACATTCTTATATGACATTTGTTCATAGTTATGCGATGAGCCATGCGGACGCAGTAGATCAATTTCATTTAAGAGTGATGAAATATTATTGACATTTGTTGATGATTTATTTCCAGAAGACAATAATGGACGTTCATAATCGATTTTGTCTTGCTCACGTTTATCAGCGGTAGCAATAACACTTGAAACGAAGCCTTCATTCTAAATACAAAGATGAGTACTAACAATCCCATTGGCATAGGAGTATATTTCTCGACCACACTGTTTTTCTAGAAGTACCTTATATGCTACAGATAAATTGTATTCATGTATTATGTGTGGGTCAGTAATCCACAACATTGTTCTGACAATCATAGCATTATTAATTAAAGACTAAGACCTTTATTCTTGATCAACTTTGCTCATTGTTATAGTTTCATTGAGGCCTAAACTGTAGTTCCTCGATAACGGAAACTACCTTTTCGTTCTGGCTTATCGAACGGGACCTATTTTTCATCTTCCGCTCTAGAACAAGGACTGTCGCCCAACAGTTCACGTTCATCAGAATACGAAAGACTTACCGGTTCTAGTTGCTTCGAACAGGAACTATAGTGGTTTTTGGACAAGGAACAATCTCTTTCTTGATGCTCTGCAAACTAGCAGAGCACCAAGAAGAAGAGCATTAGCAGTTCCTTGTTCAAAAAGAACTATAGTTCCCGTTCGAAGCAACTAGAACTGGTGAGACTTTCTCGTTTCGATGAACGTGAACTGTTGGGTAACAGTCCCTAGTTCTACAACAGACACCATAAACTGTCAAAGGCCTAGTTCTGTTGGTTATTTTCTAAGATATTTTCATTGCATAACCGTAACCACAATTATCATCTTTAAAACGATATATTGCACTATCACTTAGCCCATATTTGTTTTCGATTATGACAGCTTTTAAAAAAATTGTTAAAAATAATCTCTATTTGAAAGTAGGGGTGCGATAGTTCCAATTAATTTTACAGTATGGTTAAATATCAAATAATAATAATAATCATGAATGATAAATAGAGTAAATCTGCAAGGTTTTATGCTGTCATATGTTTAACAGCACATATACCAGTTGATGCATCATGGCAAGTGCTATCGAATGATATAATACTAATCTCATGTCGCGAAAGTGCTTTTTCTGGCGATGATCTCGAAAAATTATGTTTGATATTTCCCACGTAGATAAAATAAAGTGTAGAAAACGTGCGCATACCAAAAAATGTTAAAAAGAAAAATATTAAACGACTAATATTAAAAGTCAATTAAATATTTTTCTATCTGAATTAATAAATATTTTTCTTGTTGTATAGAAAAAATAGATAGAAAAATATTAAAGTTTTTCGCCTAGGGTAGAAAAAATATTTAAATAAGGTGAAAAAAGTCAGGTTCCGCATATTCGTACCTCCTTGGTAGGCTCAAATTGCGACATCAGTTCCTTCATTCACAATACAAATATTGAACGGACTAATATTTAAATAAGGTGGAAAAATATTTAATTGATTTTTAATATTAGTCGTTTAATATTTTTCTTTTTAACAGTAGTCTATAGACCCGAGAACGTATCATTTTCAAAGTCTTCTTAAAATACTTGAAATTGCTATTTGTTCAGTTTAAATTTTGATGATTTATTTTTGGAAATGATACAATAGCTATGAAATTCACTCCTAGATTCTTCGATGTATCTTTTCCTTTGTTTGAGGGGATATCTGGTCTTTATTTCTTTCAACATAACCAATTTTTCCAGGGTGAAAATTGAACAAAGACATTAAATATTATTGTTTAAGAAACATAGAACGTGTGCGAGAAAAGTCTTTTTATTTGCCGAATGTCGGGTGATAAAATTTTAAATTACACTTTTTTGTTCTTCTGTACTAAAGTAGTCTACTTGAGGAAATTACAAGATATCATTTTGATGGAAAAACGTAACCTTGAAATAAATAAATAAATATCCAATTTACTAGTACTTTTCTTTCCATTAAAGGTTTTAAAAGTCTTTTTTTTTAAAACTCTCGGTTTCAGTTAAAAATTTCAAACGATGTATTCTCGAAAAATCATATTTTATGTTACATCTGTTAATTATTTTGAATCAAATCAATAAATACTCAAAATATAATCAAAAATTCTTGTTTGACCATCATAATGCTTGTGAAGAACGTATGTAAAATTTCAAAAATGACATAATTTAAAATGTTTGATGTACGCACAATAGCCTGTTCAAGTAAAATAAGATTCATACAAATCAATTTTGAGTTATTTGTGCTTTGATAGCTCTCTCATCGTAAGAAAACATTACAAAATTTATTTTTCGTCGTTTTGATTTTGTAGAACGAATCTTGTAGAATCACTAAAGTTTCTAGAAATTAATCTACCTTTAAAAAACTACAGTAAATTCTATAAATATATTGTACTATAGATTAAATTAATAAACAACATTTTGATGAGTCGATTTTCTTGCATAGTTTAGTTTTATTTATGTTAAAAAAAAAAAAAAAATACAAACAAAATCACCGGTATTAGTAAAACAAAAGAATTCGATTAAATGTCATTTATAAATCGATATGTTGACCTATAGCATCCATGTATAATTCTTGAACATATGGCCAATTAATAATTTTAAACCAGTTGTCGACATATTCATTTCGTCGATTTTCATAAGTTAGATAATAAGCATGTTCCCAAACATCTATTCCCAAAATTGGAACATGATATTTATTTTCCATAATAAGACTATCTTGATTGGCTGTTGAATTTATGGCTAATTCTTTAGTGGAAACATTAACCATTAACCATGTCCAACCTGAACCGAAGAGATTAATTGCATTATTTGTAAATTGTTCTTTAAATTTGGTAAAACTTTGAAATTTATTGTTGATTTCATTTAATAATATTCCATCTGGTTGTGGTTCGATAATTGTTTCATTGATATATGTTGGTTTGGTCATTAAATGCCAAAATAATTTATGATTAATATATCCACCACCATTATTTCGTAATGTTTGACGATATGGTTGTGGTATTTGATTTAAATTTGTTAATATGGTGTTAATATCACTTTTCATCAATTTAATTAAGTCCTTGTCAGTCGTCTCATTTATTATTGATTCAATAGCCGTATTTACTTTAGTTGTGTATGTCTGATGATGTTTTAAATGATGAAGACGCATAATTTTCTCCGACAAAATTGGCTCCAGTGCGTCATAGTTATATGGTAACGGTGGCAATGTGATATATTGAGATTGTACACAGATCAATAAGCAAATAGTAATGATTGAACTTATAAGCATTTTCTGGTTAATCTAAATGAAATTTTACACATGTTCACAAACTCAACACTAACATACATACATACATAGTGTGGTTAGGAAAAAAAATATTTGACTCAGAGATTTCACACAATAATTACCAATGCTTTATCTACTACTCGTGATAGTTTTTTGGATAGCCTTGCTTAATTACACAACACAGTGGGCATGCAGGCGGGTATTTGGAGATCAAAAGTAATCAAAAGTAAGCTTTTTTGAAATTCAAATAATAAATTCTCCTCCTCATAAATACTCCAAAGTCTGGGCTATCTAATAGCGAAAATATTTTTGTTCCAGCTGATGAATTTCCGGAAAAAACCTATAAATGAAAAAAGACCCGCTAAAAGAGCGTTTCGCCTACATTTTGGATTTTTGAAAAAGAATATTGTCTCAGGGTTAAGCGCTAAGGAGAAAATTGGTGTTTTCCTAAACAGAAGTGTTTCCGACTGACGTCTCCAGTGCGGTAAAAATCCTGAATTTTTCTAAAATCTAATTTGACTTCAAATTACATCAGAATGTTCGTCCACATATCCTGCATCCACCAAGTATGCGCGAAAATGCGTGACTTCTCCTGGACCAATATACAGGTTTTCCAAAAAACCCTGTTTTTTTAGGTATTTTCCATTTTCCGTATAATTTGTTAATTTTACAAATAAAATATTTCTGACGCAAATTCAGGGTAGGGAACGCTTGCCCCCTTTATCGAAAAAAAATGAGATATCTGCCTGCTCTATGGAAAAAATGCTCACTGTGTACAAGTGACAAACAACTCTAGTAATTTCAAGAAAAGATACCAGTATTTACTCGTTCTTTCATTTTATTGAAAAAAAGTAGAATACATTTGAATATTATATTAAACAAGGATAAGAGACGAGAGATTGATTAAAAAGCAACAACAACAACAACAAAACGCATGCTATAGAAGTCATAATTGCACTATCAAAAAAATATTATCAATTAGTACAAAAAAAAACAAATGTTCAATTAAAAAAAGAAACGCACAAAATTTAAATAATATCAGACGGATAATTAGTAATATAACAGGAATAATATTCAATATGCCATATTTTGCATGGAGGAGATAAAAAAGAAATGAAAGAAAGAAAGATAAACGGTCACTGTCGAGCGTCTAATCTCTTTCGAAATTTTGTTCATTAAAATTTAATATTTTGCACCGGCTTCATAATCTAATTCTCTTTCATTAATTCGATAATGAACTTTTCACCTAAGAAGAGAAACAAACAAAAAATTTAATGTTTAAATAATTGAATAAAGAAAATTTTATTTTTACCTGCGACTTTCTTCGTTCAACAAAATCGATAAGATTTGTTGTTGAAAGATAGCCATTTCCGGGATTTTGAATCCATTCATTTGATAAACATTCACTAGCAGATGGGCGAGAACTTAAAATACAAAAAGGACACATTATTTTAAACTAAATTACAAATAAACTAATTTTTAAAGAGCAAAACAAAACAGAACAAAAACTATTGTTCGTATATCACTAGAGGAGAGACTTATGTCTGTAGTATTAATGCTATCTTTTCATTCGTTCAATTACTATTAAACATTGAATTTAAGATCTATTTCAGTCATTTTTAAGAGAAAACTTATAAGATAGTTATTAAAAAATAAAAATGCATTGTATTGTTTGATTACTTACTTTACTTCTCTAACAAGTATCATTTGGATAAATTGTTTCGATCGTTGTAATGTTTGTAAAAATGGTACGTCTGGAAACATATAGTCAATATTCAAAATATTTTGACATGTTTGTTCATCCGTATCATCGAGAAAAGGTGATAGACCAGAAAGTAAAACATAAACAAGTACACCAATACTCCTGAAATATCCAAAATATACTTAATTAATCTCAATAAATATTACAAACTAAATTATACATACCATATATCTGTTTTATAATTGACAGCATTTCCTTCGATAATTTCTGGCGCAGAAAATTCGGCATTACCAGTTAATCGATGAATATAACGCATATTTGTTAAACGGATGGTATCACCAAAATCCACTAATTTAATCTGATGATAGTAAATATCAATAAGTAAGTTTTCAGGCTATAAATAAAATTAATAATCATTGAATGAAAAATATTTAGTATACAAGAACATACTTTTAGATCTAAATGTATCATTTTACAACGGTGTAAATAATAGACAGCATTTAATAATTGTCTGATGTATTTTACGACAACCAATTCATTTAATGAACTTTGAAAACAAAGATGATCAAATAATCGACCACCAGATATTCTAAACAAACACGATAATTTTAAGACTATGTGTTTAATATTTCTACTATGTAAGCTTATTAACAAAGAGCTAGGTATGTACGAAGAATATTTAATCTTATCTAAGTAGTCGAAGGGTTAAATAAACAAAGCAATATCAAATATCTTACAATTCTCCAACAATAATTGAAAATGTATCTGTTTCCATAAAAGCATAAACAGACATTATTGACTCATTTTTCAATGATGATAGTATAGCGTATTCATGGAGAGCACGATCCACAGGTGTCAACTTCTTGTAGATTAGTTTTGTACAAACATCATGTCCAGTTGAATTATGTAAACAATGTTTAACAATACAAAAACGACCACTAAATATAAAATAAAATAGGATATATAATTTACTTATATAATAGAAAATACTAACCGTGCAAGTTCATTTAGTTCTCGATAATCATTCGAATAACGTGTACTCCAGCGTACTTGTTCAACTGGTACATGATGTGTTGAATAGGCATCTATACGATAGAATAAAATGTAATCTTTTATTTAAATTTAAAACCAGTTGTTTTTTGAATAATTACTTACCTTTTACCACAACACGGACTTTTTGAGAAATTGTACCATATGGACTTGTTGCGATGCATTCATAAACGCCAGAATCGTTAACTGTTGGACTAACAATCTAATTATACAAAAAGAGTTAGCAACAATGGATTTATTTATGATGAAGAATATTAGTCACTTACTTGCAATTGTATCGTGCCATCATCATTATATAATGTGTTCACGTGAACACCACCATCAGATATTAATGTATGACCGAGAGGATGTTGCCAGACTATAGCGGGACGAGGATTGCCGCTTACGTGTCCAATTAGCGTCAAAGAATTAGGAATAATTACTGTTCGATCTTGAAACGGTATCGTGAATTCTGGCGGAAAATAATGATGATGACGATTCGATATTTGTTGTCTGCTGCTATACTCCAAACTCAAACGCTAAACAAATGAAAAAAACAATATTTTAATTAATTGATCATGACCCACTACACATTTTTGACAAGAAACTTTACTGCCGTTACAACATGTATCTAAGACAATGAAAAAAGCTAGAGTAGTGCTTTACAAACATCGGACTAATACAATACTAACAATATTATTAGTACAACAAAAATGAATGATTCTTAGTTACAACAACAACACAAATGAACTACATGTATTACCACAAACAATACTGACACATCTAAATGACATTAAACAGTTCTATAATACATACAACAAAAATGAATTGTTTTTACACACATTTGTTAAAATAAAATTAGTTGTCTAATCGTGTCAATAATGTAAAAATGAGCAGTAAGGTATATTTAAAGATTTTGTAGTTTCTCTTTTAGAAAAAATTAGAGATAAAGAACATTTCTTTATCAATGGTAAAGAGTAGAAGAAATGTGTACAAAAAATATCTATGCTATAGAGTAAAATTTGATTGATTGTGCTCAAACGTTTTCTAAATGCAAGCAACGTTGAACTCCGACAATTCTTTAGTAACATTACTTTTGCAGTGGCAACAATAATTATATATCGTTGCCTATTGCTTGAATTTCATTACAAGACAGAAATCATAGAAGCTGATGTGATTTCGTGCTTGAAAAAAGATAGAGACAAGGATACCAAATCGTAGTAACCGGAGTTTGCGAACTTGAAACATTTTCACAGAAAAACCGTTCCCAGAAATGAAAAAGTGCAAGTTTATAAGCAAACCTTTGCTCACAAACGAAAAAAAGACATAGTTATGATGAATCAAGATTCAGGTTTTTATTATAAATCTGCAGAATGTTTACTGACAATTGATACTGCGCTAAGAGAATTCTTTATCAATTTTAAAGAGTGACGTAAGTTACCAGAGTAAGATTTATCGTACTCCTAAGAAACTATATGGCAGATTCTAAAAATTCCATAACGAAAACATTTATACAATAAGCTTTCACCAAATTGATTTTCTGACGAATGTGCTTAAAAAATCAGTTATTCACAGGATTTGAGATAAGGCTTTGGAGTACAGAGCAATGACAAAGATAGTTTTGGGCCATATTTTCAGGTTAGATTGATTACTCAAACTACAAATAGTTTACCCAGAAAAAAATGCTCTGGGTTTTATACTCTGGTGTTTAAATGTCTAACTTTTGACATGTATCTGTAAAACATATATTAACAAATAATCATTCCTATTTTTGAATTTTTAAAATCGATCAATAGCTCTGTGTAGTATACTGTTCCCTTAAAGGAAAAGGGGTACGTGATGTGAAAAGGGCATAGTTGATAAGGTGAAATGATATAATTTGTTTACTTGATCGATCATGTTTAATAAAATCCATATGTAGCCAATAATAAACATAAGCTATGTAGTACGACGAATTTCTGTTGACAAAAACAAAAACAAAACAAGAAAACAAATTTTACTCACACAAAAAAAAAAAAATTTTACTTCGAGAACGTAAAAAGAAGAGAAAAAACAGATATTTTTTTAGTAAGAATCATAAACATCAATTTAAAAAAAAAACAAAGCAGAATAAAACCACAGCTAAAACATTGATTTTTTTCGCAACGAGACTATACTAAGAAAGAAAAATAGAAGAATGAAAAGATCGCTATCAATACGATCGTTTAATATCTCACTCCTTATCGGAAGAGAGTTATTTGAAAAATTACAAAATAAATAAAAACAAAGAAAGAGATTCTGGTCCAACAGGAGAAAAAAAGAGAGAGAAGCAGAAAAAATAACAAATATAGAGATGTACATGCGTAATTTCATTTTTTGTTGAGAACCAAAATCTGACTGATCTTTATTTTTGATGCTAATTAAACATAGTACACAATATCATACATATTTTGTTCCATGAACAGTAATAAGAGCTTTAAGAAAAATTCGAGATGATTATATTACCTTTTGTCCATCTGATGATGTGGAATTGGAGAGGTTTGTATGTGGTTGTGGAGGTAATGTAGATTGATAAGGTATAACAGGATGAGAGTGTTGTTGATGATGTGATTTTGTAAATGTGTTTGTCGGTGAGGTTAATGATTGTGTCAAATTAATCGGTGATCTTAATCCAATAATGTGGCCAGGTATCCATCCTTCAGCAGCTGGTGAGCTAGTATTTTGTTCACGATGTACAAAATATCGATTATCTTGATTGGCAGCAACTATTTGTACATATTCACCCTTTTGAACACATATTTCATCTTCTTTAATCGCATTATAATTAAACAAACATTTAGCTGTATCTGGTAATTGATTACTAGTATTATTATTTGTTGGCTGCTGTTGTTGTTGTTGTTGTTGTCGACGTTCAAGAGTATTGTCGGTTGTCTTTTTTAATGAACGATAATTATCGTATGTTGAAGATGGTATATAATCATTTGATGATGAATGTTGTTGTTGACTAGATAGTATATTGTGATTATCGTTTATTGATGGAGAATATGTGGCGGCTGATGATACAACGGGACTAGACGAAGATAATAAAGATCCAGTAGCACTAATCGAAGAAGAAATGCTAGAAGGATTTGACGATGTTGTTGTAATAATATTTAATGGTCGTGTGAATGATGTTGCTGATGTTGACGTAGACGATGAACGTTGTAAAATTGTATCGAATAAATTAAATGGTTTTCGTACAGGTGTTACATTAGAATCATTGTTATTTGACGACGATGTTTGAGATAATTCTAATGTATGAACTTTATTTGTATCTGAATGAGACTGTGTACGTGGATGATTATATTTTTTTGGTGATATTGTTGTCAAAAATAAATTTGATGAAGGTGACGTAGATGATGGTAAAACAATGGATGGAATAGTAGTGCTTGACATTGTCGGTTCATTTGGTAACTTGCCTGTTCTATCAGACATTGACTTTTTAATTTGACCACGATTATTCGATGAAATAGATGTTGTTAATTTATGAAATGGCGATGATAATAATGATGAGTCTTGCCTAGAACAAAAGTAAAAGAGGATAGTGAATAAAAAAAAATACCTTAATATAAAATTAAAAATAGGTTTTAAACAGTAACGAATGCAGCATGTTTTCGTACACAAGCATTTGCATGAAACAAAACCGTGCTAGGTTCTTAGACAGCGCATTTTTTCTGTTTCTTATAGTTTTTTGTTTAGAAAACTTCGAATTTTTATAAAGTGTTTTAATTATTGAGTAATAAAATTTGCTTTTAAGAATATTCAAATGACTTTTTAACTTAATATTAATTTAAAAATGAGATGATATCGATTTCGTTATTTTTCGATTAAGCAGCTGAATAACCGTTACAATATGTTATAATTGCTGTTATTATTTTTAAAAACCAGAATAACGATAGTTATAATCAATCACACACACACACACACACACACATAAACACACAAAGAAGAAAAAAATAATAAAGCATAATTAATTATTTACTTGATTTTCTTCATGCACAGCAACAAACGAAGGAATTACAGAGACCGCATCATAAAGTAAGCAAAAATGTTAATTAGATTGATTGTACAAAGTACCAGAAAAGCTAATCTGAGCAAAATTTGAAAAAAACCCTCATAAAGCGTCAACCTTCGCAAACTTATCAATAAAATAAACTACCATGATGAATTTTCTCGAATTTTCATCTATTATTATTTTCATTATTATCAGACGAATCGACTGAATGATGTTTTTTTAACATAAACATCCGTCGTCCGAATGAACGTGTTGTACGTTGAAATGTGTTTGAATGTTTAACTGTTGCTGAAAGTGTAGGAGTAGATTGTTGTATTACATATCCTTTATAACTATCATCCGCTTTCTCCCATGTCAACAACCTTAAAATTGATAAATAAAAAATAATTATAAATTGCTTGTATTGCAAATTTGGAAGAAAAGAAAAGGCGCATGCATGAAAATAGAACTTAAATAGAATAATTAATAGGCAACGGTATTGAAGCACGTCACTAGACAGACACGCTGATGAAATTTTCATATTAAATATAGAAAAAAAAAAAGTACACAAAGCACGTTTAGGTATGATAGAATCAGTTAGAATCTAGAATAAATTGACGCACTGCATCATCTCATTTTGAAAATAGATCTTAGAAAATAACAATAACGACCACAATTGTGGGAGGGATAAATTGGCGGGATGAATAAAAAGCATTACAATGATCACAGATGCATTTAAATAATAATATTTGAATATAATATGAAGCTAACATACGAGTTGTTGGTTTTTTCTTTAGTATCTTACCCAAATGGATATATATATCTCTAATCTCTCACACTTATACTATATAAAGAACTACACACACGTGTGTATCTCTCTTTGTAATTGCAATAATAGAAGAAAAAATGGAAAATGGATGGATAGTTGTGAGTGCAATAATTTTGTTATGTACAAATAATGGTATTTCTAATACACTCAGGGTAGTTGTATGTATATTTATGACTATGTATGTATGACTGTGTGCTTACTTTCGTGGACTGCAAGAAAAAAAAATTAAGTACTTCTTATCACTGTAAATAATCAAAGTCCCATATTTCATTAAGCCAAATAGACTTACTCCTTTTTTAAAGCTTCTGTTGGATTTATTAAAGCTAAAAATAGACAAAATATAAATGATCTATTTTCTTTTGTAAATTAAGATAATATTCTCTACTCATACCTTGTATAAGATCAATTTGTCGTTGTAATACTTTATGTAAATTAGTCACCCATGTTTCATATTGTTCTTCACTATTACATTGACATAATACTCGTCTCGTATGACCAGCATCAACTTCAACTAAGATAAATTGATAGGCATCTTTGATACGTTTAAAATCTTTGTGCTGTAGTTTATTTATCTTAAAATACAAAAATAAATAAAAATCGTTATATAAACATGACAAAACTTATCAATTTCTATTTACCTTTAAATCATATTTATAGATATAATTTGGACTAGAATATTTATCTTTTGCTGGTATTTCTTCACAAAATACCATTGCTTGTTGAAATAAAAATACTCGTCGTTCTTTTAACTTTTTCTCAGCTTCTTTTGGATCTTTTGTATCTTTGGTAACTGGTTCAGACACTAATAACATATCCTGTAATTTTAATTCACCTAATGCATGTACATTACATGGTAAATCTTTGACGCGTCCAACATTCATCATATCATTTGCTTGTGTTGGAACTGTAATCATGACTTGTAAAGCGCTACGAATAGCACGTGGTTCTTCACCCATACGTTCCGTTGATTTTAAAATTTCTTTTAATAATAATTGATAACGCATTATTCTTTGAACAGGTTTTATTAATAAATCACTAACAAGTAATTTTTGACCAAGTTTCTTACGTATTTCCTATTAAAAATAAAAATACATAGAATTAAATCTATTATACAAAATAGATGTAGAATTTACTTCAAAATAATCATGAAATTCTGATACAACATATTCTGATCTTGGTTTATTCTCGCAATATCTAACATAGGGACTAAATCGATTTGTCTAAAAAACAAAAAAAGAGAGAAAAATATAAAATTTGTTTTTAATTATTTCAGAATTCAAACCGTAAATAGCCTTCCTAATATATCTGGATTTTCAATACATTGTTCAAGTTGTGGTAAAAATGTACTACAAAAAATAAAAAACAACAACACATGTATTAGTTTATGTCCAATAAAAAGAGTAATACATACTCTCGATGAAATTCGTAAATTTTTTGAACATTTCCAAATACATAACGTTCAAGACCTTGAAGTCCAGCTGGTTTTTTAATGTCTTTATCATTTTCAACAGCACTCATATAACCCTATAAATATTAATAAAATAATTGTATATAAAAAGGCGAACGGGTAAAATCAAAATAGTAATTTAATCTGACCTCCACAATAAGTGCCAAATCTTTTACATATTCTTTTTCTGTGTCGATTAGTTCAACGATATTATGTCTAAAATGAGATAGATGTCTTTTTTTAGAAAGAGATGACCAAATATAACTATTTATACGAACCTTCGCTTTTCACCGTATTTTGTTTTATCATCAATCGTTTCATCTAGTATTATATTAGAAAGTGATTCATTCTGTATATCAACGTCGGGTAATGACGGATTATCTGATGGTAAATCAACGGTTGTTAATAATAAGGAAGAAAAAGGTAAAGCTTGTGCTCCACCACTTGCAGATGGAGGTGGTGGAGGCGTTCGCTCTTCATCGTTAGAAATCACAGCATTTGGAATCACAGTATTTGATGGTGATGAAGATAGTGAGGAGGAGGATGGTGTTGATGGAACATTGGTACTTGAAGTAGGGACAGTTGTTATAGTGGTAGTTGTTGTTGTTGATATTGTACCAACTGGGTTTGTTACACTTAATGCTGTTGGAATTTGAAAATCATTTACTGGTAAACCAGCAACGATACTGAGTGGAACCTAAACAAAACACAACATGATTACGATTGCCTAAAAACAACGATATATTTCTCTTTTTCTCTCAAAAAATTTGATAAAACAAGTACTTTCCTCTTATTTATCTTTGTACCTCAAATTTAATGACAGATAGTGGCGAATGGTATCCTTTCGTATAGAAATTTTTTTTTCATGATCTCGTTGACTATTTTCACTCGTATGTATTCCGTTAGAGACAAAACAATAAAAATAATCAAAATCTTTCACGAATACTAGTTTTTGCCCGAAAGAGAATTTTCGTTGAAAGTGGACGAAATAATTTTTCATTGTCGAAAAACGACATATTTTTAGTATTTTTCTAACAAAACTGAAACAAAAGAAAACCCAAAGTTTAAAAGTACTTGTATATAGGCTATCGATGTACTCGATACGTGGTGTATGACTCATTTTAACAATATTTAATTCTCTTTTATTTTTATCTGACATATTTTGATGCTGTGACTTTGACTAATTTCCAAATATGCACATCTCAGTAGTCGAAAAAAAAGGAGTAAAATAATACTATTTAGGAAGATTATAATTTGTTTATTTCATTTATTTACGATGATGATGACAGGTAGAAATGTTGACAGATATTGTATACGAGAATATAGATATATACAAGGAATTTAGATAGATGGACCAAAGGAGAATAGAATGAATAAATAAATAGTGTATTTGTGTTATTCTCTCAAGAAAGTGCAAATGTTTGAATTTACCATCATAGACTTGTCAAGTTTTGACATGAAAATAGTTTTGTCTTAAAACATACAATGACGTCTTTTCTTCTCTCATTGTAGACGTTGTCTCTTTAATAGATTATGTTCTTTTCAATCTCGTGCACGCCCTTCTTTTAAGAAAAAGCTCTTTTATAATCTTTTTAACATTTCAACATCAACAATTTCACTCTTTTATGTTATCCTTCACTGGGCTACATAGTAGACTCTGTCTCAATTTAAGATAAAGTATGTTTCCAAATCTGAGATAAATGGGAAAACAACATAAAAGCCTAAGCTGATCAGTTTGAATTATATAAAAAATAAAGCATATCTGATACCAACACATACAATCTTGAAATATTGTCAATATGAGCTTAAAGAGGTTGTGTAGAAGTGAAAAACAACAACAACGTATTTAAGATACCACTGGGAAATATATGATTCAATAGTCAATAAGAAAATGTTTAGATACCTTATCGAGTGAATCTCTAATTTTAATAAATATTCTGCAATTCTATCTGATTACTCTGTTATTAGAGATCACATTAAAAATATTTCTCTAATGAATCAGATAGATATTTTTATATCAACTGAGTAAATATATTCTTAAATAAAACACTGACATTCATATAGTACCATGAACTTTTCTCATTTGATGCTTGATTGTTAGAAATTTTTAGCTCATAAATCGATCATATTCAATGAAACAAAGACGACGCGTATACTTTCCTCTTTTGAGTTATAAGTGTTTTTTCTATGACTTCCTTTTTCTCCTCACTTGATCGAAAACAGCAATACTAAATACTGAATCAATCCAAATTCATAGAAAATGAACGGGCATCAGTAACATTTTTTTTCTCAATCACAATTACTCGTACACCATTAATTTTACCGCTAATATCAACAGAGAGTATCATTCTGTTGCAAAAAAAAGACGGTTTAATGATATCAGCACGTCATAAACATAAGAATGTACAAAAATGCAACATCAAAATTGGTTAGCTTCTAGGATATTATATCAGCTATAATTTCTCCTTGTTTAAATCCTACAGTGAGAAAATTTTTCTAAAACAGCTGTTTTTGTTAGACAGAAACACACTGTCAGCTACCATCAAATACAAATGTGTTATCTAGATGTTTGATCTCTTCAATACATAACTACGTACCTTATGAACTGTATAACATACATCAAGATGATTATAAGAGATTTTTTAAAATAAACAAAATAATGCTTACTACATGTTGAACTAATCTTGCAATAACAGAATCGTCTTCAAATGGGCTGGCTGTTGACAGTGCGGGTACTCGTACTTTTTTGATTTTAGACGACAGATCGCTGGTATTATCCAGTGCGAATGTACGATTTACAAGTCTTCGAACAATTCGGATCTCCGTTTTGAATATTTTATCTTAACTTTGTGCGCGTGTACTTATAGATAGGTAATGTGTGTGTTGTCTTTTTTGAAAAAAAAAATAAATTCGACGGCAGAAAATACTTCTAGGTTTTTTCTTTCTTGCTTTCGTAAAACAGATGAGAAATTAGAGTATGTATGTGTATATGTGTGTTCGATAGTGTCGGTATATATTACAAGCAAAGCAGCAGTTAAAAAAAATAAGTGTTTTCTACTTTTTTTTTATTCTTTTTCTTGTGCTCAATAAAAAAAAATATATATATATATATATGTATATAATATACAACGTTTTCTTATATTCTGCTTATTTTTTACCCGATTAAACGAACCAAAATGTAACAAAAGAGATCGTCAGCATCGAAAAAAAAACTTATTTTTTTCATTGAAGAAAAAATATTCTCTTTCAAGCGTGCATGTTACTCGTCTTTATGTTAGATTATTATTATTATTATTATTATTATTATTATTATTATTATTACTATTATTATTATTATTATTATTATTATTATTATGATGATGATGATGATGATTATTCTGAGCGATGAAAAAAATGTTCTTCTACGCAATATATATATTTTTTTCTATTCCTATATACAAAAAAAAAAAAAATAGAGAAAAATTTCCGAACTTATTGTTGTTGCATCTATCTCTCTATACTCTGCTTGCATACTTCTACTTGTTCTATCACGAGTCGAGTATATATCTTTATAAAAAGAAAACACATTCTTTCGTGCATGATTCTAACAAGAGAAGCAATTAGACTTCTAATGAACCGTTTTTCGTTCTTCTCTTTATATAAATTATTATTATCATACGTAATGTGTAACAATGATTAATGATCATGTTCTAGTTTTCTTCTCTACAAAAAAAAAAAAAAAAAAATTGAACATACTTTTCCTCATGATATATGTCTGCGTGTATGTATTACATGTAAATATAAACTCCGTTTGCTCGTTTGTGTATATTAAACAAAACAGAAATAGTTGTTCCTCATGTGTTTCTTAGACAAATATCATAGATGGTTTCGATAATCATTAAATGGACAAAATAGAGAGAGGCGTGAGACCGTGACATGTCGAAATAACTTTGCTTTCTATTCTAAAAAAAACACTAAATAAACAAAAAATGCCTGATTCGAACAATGAATGCATTTATACAACAAGAATAACATGCTTGTATGGTAGTAAATATTCGAACAAGTTAGTGTGGATAATGGAGGTGGGCAAGATCGTTATATTCCATCAATAATCTGTGAGATGGAATAGAATTTTTGGATAAGAATTCTAATAGAGAAAGAGAGAGAGGGAGAGATCAAGACATCAAAAAATCTCATCTCTGCTAGCTACTTAGCCAAGATATATTTAAAAGAGGTTCAAAAAGTCAATTAGACCAGAATTCCATAGATAAATGGACAGATTTCTTTTAGCGCCATGGTACATTTCAAGACATACATTGATTCAACACATGCTGACGAAAAGGCACTGTCACATTATTTGATAATCTTTCCATATTCAGATACATATGTGTTATTCTACAGTAAGTCATAGGCATAGCAAGAAACAAACTAAACAATACTTTTTCAAACGATATTGAATTTATTTTCAATAATAAAGTCAAAAATTCAGGTTTTTCAAATAAAATCTATTAGCTTTTAGATAATACACATTCGGCGGCGTATGGGACATCTAAGACGCACACACACACGCATTTCAAATACAAAAACAAAGGGTATCTAGTGCATACAGTGTTTATTGTTGTTTTGTGAGGCCATGTCGCGTTCGTCTCGTCTCATTAAAAAGTGATTTCGTTCTTTCCAGCTCTGATATACATTTTGATATAAAATATTTTTTAGAAGCATTATACTGACAAGAGAACATTTCTATCCTCGAATTTCCAGGATGGAAATGCGTTCAAATGTAAATTCAAAATAATAAAAAATACTCGACTTCAAATTATAAAATTTAAAGGCATAACTTTTGAAATGTTTGATGTTAGTATATTTAATATGTTCAAATTATTAATCAATATCGCAAACTGAACAAAACTGTCTACATTTGAACGCATTTCTTTGAAAAATCATCTGAAGATATTATCTTATAAGTGTTTGAAACTGTGAGATAGTCCAAATAATTTAAACATTTGAGTAGACTATATATGTTTGAAATTATGCAGCTTATTACTATCATTTTATTATTTGTTCGTAACGAACAAAGTCAGATTGCTAACAAAATGATTTAACTGTGAAGCTGTTTGTTTTAAAGAAGTAAGTGTGCCAATGTTTTATTATTTTTAAAAAACACAGTTTATTTTCCAAGTTTTTGGGTTGTCGCATGTCTAAAACAATGAAATCGGAATTCTTAAAGTTTGTAGAAGTCAAAAAAAGAAGAAAAGAAATATAGTAATAGCTGCATTAGCCAAGTATTATACGAAGGAAATGTAGCAGCAAATATTATTAAGGGGGAGAAGAAAAGAGTATTGTCAGCATATTTCTTCATAAAAAAAAAAGAAAAAAAAATCCAAAGGTCATGTATGAAATGGTGAAAAAAAAATAGAAAATATGTTTTCTGCTGATTACAGATAGATGATGATGCTGCTCTAGAAGACTTTCGAAGAAAGAAAAACAATTATCAATGTGTGAAACAACAGCAACAACCACAACAACAAGAAACTTAACAATAAGCGAATTGTGTAGGAATTAGATAAAAAGAAAAAAGCACGAGCATATTACGGATTACTGTAGAGGAATAATCAGGATATCAATAGAGAATAGATACAACATCAACGACATCTGTTTAATCTGATTGAAAGCAGTCAAAAAATAATTTCGAATCGTATTGTTTTTAGAGTATGATTTAATTTTAAATAATGAGCTTAGTCCTCACTTGAGACAGTCAATTAGTTTAATTTATTAAAGACTTAATTCGAGATAGTTATTGTATATAAGCGTCTACCAGTGCGTCAAATTACGCAAACTTAGGTTAGAAATTTTAGTTCTAAAAATTTGCTCTCATTCTTGTTGAAAATTTAAGTGACAAAGCTATTCATCATATTCGTTAAGAAACTTATCGAAAAATTACTTTAAAACTATCACTTACCACTAGTCCCGTATTAGATTCATTATCGACCAATTTTATCGATTGTTGTTGTATTTCCATAGGGGGTGGAACTTCAACTTCTAGTAACACATCTCCATCATCATCTTGTACAATATCTGATATTTTGTAACTGCCATTCATACCGTTGAACGTTTTTTCCGTTGAATTCTAAAATAAAACAAAATTTGTTTACAATTAACACATCTTTTATAATCTCATCATTGAAAGATGTCATAACAGTTGTCTCTAATATGTTGTAAAAGATGGTGTTAGTTATCGTACTAATTCTTCATCCATGTGCACTGAAATTTTTCTACTTTTCGAATATTTACCAAATTAGATAAAAAAAAAATACGTTATCTATTTGCTACTGTCTACTATCGCAATCAAACAAATTCTATAAAGTCTATGAAATGTCAAATTATTAAAATTTTAACTCATGTGTTTAATGAAAACTACCATACCAACTCCAAATAGTCCATTTGGTTTTGTCTTTATCTATTTATTATCACAGAAAATATATGTAACAAATAATTTATGGTTAATCATTATGGGCATAATAGGAGGGGAAAAAGTGACAAAGAAAACTACATATTATTCATGAAACTAAAAAACTGACCTTCATAAACGTTGAATATTAAAACCTTGATAAAACAAAAATTTATTAATCGAAATAAATGGTGTAAAATACACACATTATTTTAGACTCATAACTTATGCTAAATTCTAAATTTAAAGTACTTCATCAATTTTTTTAAGATAATCAAATTTGAAACTAAATAGATTGAATGAAACAAAAACTTTTATTTCGAACAATAATCTAATTAAATTTATAAAATCATTGTCGAATACTATATAAAATAGTTGTTAAAATCTATCAAAGATTTATTATATAGATTAAAAACACTTGCTCAAATTGCAAAAGAAGATAAATTATTATATGTTTAACAATTTATTCACTTACATTTTTGTATTGTTTTCGTAATTTATATTTACGATAAAAATGTAGTTTAGGCATGAATTAATTTTTTCTTAGATATAAAACTAATTATAAATAGTATTCATTGAAAATTTTTCATTTGAATTATAATGCATACAAATATTCTCGTTTTCTTTTATAATTTCATCTTTTTCTCTTCTTCTTCTTAGAAGCATTAAAGAAATACATGATGTCGATTGACAAATATGAAACAAAAAAAAAAAAAAAATAGGAAGAGGAAAGGTTATAAAAATAGTTTTGATAAAAGGAAAAATTCGAATTACACTAGTAAATATAATACAAGGTTCATGTAGACAAATAGTAGTAATACCTTGAATTATTTTCGAATAATATTGCAGTAGAACACTATTGGATCAAAATAAAAAAAAAATTAAAATATTTTTGTTTGTCACGTCTTTAATTCGAAAAACAACAAAGAAATATGATGTGTCTGAGAGAGAAAAAAGTAAGAAAGAACCATGACATAAATGATACAAATGAGAGTAGAGTATAGATGTCTGCGTCACTCACTCTATATATTCATCAAAATGCGAATATATACATATATATATATGTTTAGATATGTGAATCGAACAAAATTTTTACTACTACCACTGTATAGAGAATATGATCGAATATATAACTATCATCAGTGATGGTTGTTAAAAAATTTCTATAAATAAACATATATGGTGAAAAAAAAGAGAATAAGAAAGGAATTAAAAAGAAATATGTTGTTTCTTATTTTGTTTCATTTGACTGTACTCAAATCATTTAGCTAATAAATAGAATATAAACGAATATATTAGATAAAATAGTAAATTCTAAATTCGAATTAAAAAATCTTTTTAAAATAGTTGATTTTCTTTCATATGAGATTTTTAATAAATTTCTCAGTGACTTGTACTCTCTTATAAATTACGATCAATCACTATTTTATTTTTTATACACATGTACAATGGAAAACACAGAAAAGTGCTGAACTGAGCCTGAATGAATGTGTACAATTAATGCAGGTACAAAAGAAATGAAAAGAAGACGGTTTATTATACTAATTTGAGAATAAGTTTTGTATTGAGATGTCAAATGTCACATCTATAAGCTATTTTAATAATTGCTGTATGTCATTCGAAAAAGTTTCAATACTTCTCAAGAAAGAATACTATCTAATACTTTCAGGCTTATAGATTTCAAGACCATCATCACAACTATTGCCTATCTTTCCCTTTCTTATAAGTTGAACAATCTCGATGCACACCATTTATTCGATAAATGTTGGAATGATCGATCCATTAGCAGAGTGCCAATATAATAGAATAAAAAAAATTATTAAGTTATAACATTTGCTTATTTTTACGAACGTCAGCTTTCTCTTTGTCCTTGATAAAAATGTTCATTGAAAGAAGAAAGTGAATTTCTACATAGAAATATATCATTTGTTTATTTATCCTATTATGCTTCGTTTTTCTTACAAAAAGTTAATTTTCTTCTCTCTTTTTTTCTAATATATTAGTATCATAATCTTTATGTTCAAGACTGTGTAAACAATCATTCAATCATCGGACAATGAACCGACGAACATATATATACAAAACATGCAAATAATACGTTTGCTCTTGAACGAACAATACATTTTTTTTTTATCAACCGGTTTGAGAAGAATTTAAGAAAAAATCCACACCGAAAAACGAACGCGTCGATAAAATAGCCTCCTGTAGCAGACAAATCAAAGATTGAATAAAAAACAGTATTAGGTTGCAGCTTTCGAATAGAACCTTTTTTTTTCCTCGAAATCCTCTAGATCTCTTGTCTAAGCTCTTTAAACACCTGAATATTAATATAGATTTTAATAACCTTAAGTAATACGAAAAGTATATAACAGATGATCCGTAGAAGAATATCAAAAAATAAAATCTATTCAGATTGTGTGGTATCAGAGGATATATTTGAAATACAGTGACAGGGGTAGACTGTGTACGTAAATACTTCTGTAAATATCATGCACAACGGCACATAGGATATGTTCTCAAACGTGTCGTATCGACAAGTGTCTTAGAACTGGACATATGGTGCCTCGGTAGAAAACATATTTTTTGTGCCCTACAATGGAGTCTTCCTTAGAATGTGTCTTGTTTTTTGTTTCATTCATTTTTTGGATTTTTGACAGTACGTCATACATAATAAACTCAATATAATTTATTGAACCTTGATGATTCAATTCTTTCGCAAGAAAAATATCTTCGATTATTGAGTGTGGGATTGACTGCAAATAGTTTATACGGATCCTTGATCAGAACTATGTAGAAGACTTAATGTGTTTTCTCACTATACATATTTTATTACGATTAATCCTAAACATACTCAATAAATACATCATTTTTGTTCGTATTTCCGTAGAGATAATGTGTTGGGCACATTCAATATGCCTTTACAGATGGTACATTAGAAATGCTGTGTCTAAAATTTGTGCTCGATTTATTACAAAAGAAAATATTCAGTCTATGAGGGTACATTTTTTTTACAGGATGTTATTTCGTAATATTACTCTTTTAAAATGATGTTTCAAATAAAAAGGCATCCTTTAATCGAAATGGAAACTTTAATAAGCCGATTTTTCTTTTGGACTTAATAAATTCTCACATTAACCAACAACTAAAATAACTATCATAACGTCAAGCTCACCAAGAAATTGTAGCCAGTGAAAAAGAAAGAGTAGTCATAAAATAAGTTCTTTGTTTTCTCGATGCACTACTAATGGAGGTATGTTGGAAAATTCAGTGTATATAGATATTATTTTATAGCACTTTCTAACTAATGGAAGACACAACAATATGTGAAAAAAAAACTCAAGTCACTTTGATTGATAGACATCATAGATTATACAGACACAAGAAAAATTGATTTATCCAAAAAGAAAATGCAGAACAAGCACTATGACTACCACTAGTTTAGTCTACTTTTCTTAGACTACTTGTATCTGTTATACAGTCCATATAGTTAAGATCAAAACCATTTGGACTATCTCATGTTAACTTACATTTTTGAGCACATTCATCGATAGAGCATCAAACGCTAAATATTTCTCCTTTTCACAGAAAAAAAACTAATATACAGAGAAATGGAATATTCTTTTCCTACAATGGTTTTTCAACTGCTGAGTTTTTCTTTTAAAAATTTCTTTTTATTCACAATTTAATTACTCATTCCTCTGATCCTACTGTGACATGAATACAGAGACTGACAGGTTTCAGTAAACATTTTCATTGGTTGGTATAGAGAATGAGCAGAGGAAGTATTGATGATCTGTCATTTATTTTAAATGCTAATGACACCCTATAAACGTTTCATTTCATTGTATATATCAGAAAGAAGTTGGTAGGACAGAGAACATTCAACAAACGAATATCAACATCATAGGAGTAGGTTCTATCATCATGAGCGGTGGCTATCTCAAGTAATTAATGAAAGCGAAACATTTCGCTCTGAATGTGCCGATTTAAATGATACATCCTTATTATTATGCTATTACTTCGATTTCTGCTTCATGAAATTAGATCACACTATTCTCAAAAATGTATCGAGTACAACTTACATTTTCATCGGCTATTGATGATGTTGTCGTAGACGACATGGTGGTAGCATTAGAACGAGTTCTGGAAACAGATTGTAAATCTTCCGAATTTGTAAATGTAAAAGCCTAGAAGAAAAATGAATGATGAGTATGTAGGTTGATTTTATCAACTATTGTTATACTTTAATTTTAGATGTTGAATTTGTGATTGGTGCTGGATTTGTCGTTGCGGGAGCTTTTTTCACATCACGATTTTTGGCGTCCTTACCATCTTTTAAACTTAGACGACGTACAGGATTTTTTAATATTCTTCTAAAACTCGCTTTTCGTTTACTAAATTGAGTGGCTGACTGTTGTTGATGTGAATCATCGTTATTTGTCACGTTGCTATCTAAATATAAGAAAAAAATAGTATTAATACTTATTCTAGCCTAAGATACAATTGTTTCATAATTAAAATACTAAAAGACTTCTCCACATCTCCAATCATTCAAACAACTCATAAAATCTAGCGTGATTGTATACCAGAAATATGAGCAAATAACCGATTTAGTATTAGTCATACCGAAATTCTATTTTTGTTGATTCAAAACAGATGAATAACAATTATTCAGTTCTACGTTGGCGTAGAAATATACATTTCGCTAACGGCAAAAAGAATTACTAGTACAATAAGTTAAATATCTCCGTCAGACAATGAAAAAAAGCTGACACTGTTTAAGGTGAACATTGTTTACTGCAGATAGTATTGAAACACAGATATCACGATGATATTTGAGGTTTTAGAATAAATACCTTGTTCATTTTTTGGAATTAAGATAGATGGACTGGATTTTGTTGCTTTTAATATTGACGATGGTACAAGACCTTCAATATATTTTGTTGTTGTTGATGTTGAATGAATTGAAGATAATGAAGATTGTTCTGTACCGGATATTGTTGTCGATGAAGCTAATGATGGTGGACCGGATACAGACTGTTGTGTTTGTTGATTATGATCATTTAGTAGACGAATTAAACACCATTCTGGTGAATTGCCTGTAGTACGTTGTAGTATACGAACATGTTGACCTTTCGTAACTGATAATTCATTTTGACTGCGTGCTGTATAATCGTCACAGACAACTGTTACGTCACACGAGGCCTACAAATAAATACGTATAATAATATATAGATGTCTCCACATGAATGTAGCTATGTACTCATAATCATAATTTCTAATTTAAATAGAGTAAGTTTTACATTTGGATTTGTGACTTTTTACTCTCTTATAAAACATGCAGTTTAAAATATCATCGGAAAATAGTTGAACTTATTAATCGGGAAAAAAAAATGACACAAATATTCTGTTACTGTATTTTTTTTTTTATTTGATAAGTGTAACATTAAAGTATTTTAGAGAAAATCTTTCTACTAGCTAGAATTGATAATTATTTCGGAAAAATCTGAACAACTTGTTAATAAATTTTGACATCTACGTGACAACAAACTGAAGTTGTTGTTGTTGTTGTTTCTTTATTATGAACTACAAAAGATTCTTTATCAGTTAAAAACAAACAAACCCTAATGTATGCACACACTCATCATTAACAAACATATTTTAGTGTTTACTTTCAAAATTGAAATTATTACTTAAATCACATGATGTCGTATCAATATATTATTAGATCAATGAATGATTAAACAATTTATACTAATTAAGAACATAGTCAATTTTTAGAAAAAACAAACAAGTAATATTTAACCTTTTTATTTATTGTTTTTTCTTGAATAAAAAGAATAAAATTGTTGTACAATCTCATACTTATTTAACAAGACTAGAACAAGACATAGTCAATCGATTAATCAATTATATAGCTGGAAGATTATAATCTATGCAATATATTTATACTGATTCATTATAAAATACAATTCCCAGAGCACTAGTAAATGAAGACAAATAATAACAGGAGAAGAAGTAAATAAGTAAAAGAATGAACATATGTCATTTGTCATAGCATCAAAGAGAAAATCAAAAACTCATACATGCAACCTGTGCTATTGAATAACGAACTACTATAGAGAAAAAGAATGATTAATAATCGTCATAAGAAGAACACATAGGAAATAGTTTTATCATCAAATTGACAATAGTTAATTATCTATTCCCTTGCTCTAATTACAGAAAATGGTCTAGTATATAGATGATCATATAGTGTGTTGATAGACTCTTTTTCTCAAATTTTAAAAGAATTTTAATAAAAATTTTCCTTGTGTCAGTACCCTTTTCTATACGCATTTATCAATCTTCTGTCTTTTTTACGTTCATCATACATACTTCCGTCTATTGTAATGATAGTAGAAAACCTCACTGGTTCAAGAAACATAAAAGTTTCTTTTAGTGCGAGAAAAATGATTATTTTGAAAAAGTGTTTATTAAATGATGTATTGAAAGTGACTACTTGACACTAATATATTGTTTAACAATCTTATCAGAAAAAATTTTAAATTCTCGTTGAATAAATTGACTAGATTATTTACTATATAAAATAATGGGAAAAAAGAAGCCAATCAGGCATCATTTTTACCTTCAACAACCATCTTTATTATTTTTTCATTTGAGATTTGACATTTACTTACAAAAAAAGAAGAAGAAAAAAAAAATTGATTCAAAAGCGTTTCCTCTAACTCGTTAACAAAACTACATATACATATATATTATTTATTATTACCCATCGAAGTTTCATTTTCCTCCAAAATTCCATGAATCATGCTAATAAGAATATAAATGAAATGAATAAATGAATATATCGATAACAAATAGTTTTTGGTTGAGAAAACAACAATATTATGAATTTCAACCACATTATAACTATTTTACTGTTCGTTCTTATATTTTCCCTTTTAAAAAACACAGTCACGTACATCTAAGTTTTTCTCGATATAGTAACTATCCTTCCATATATACATTTCTAGTTATGCATATCGAATAAAAAAAAAATGAAATCAGCATATTATTATGACAGAAATAGATATTTTTCTTTTTTTTTTTTACATTTGTTAAAAACACTCTTTCATTTATGCAATGTTAAATACTTGTTGTGTTGTAATTTCAGTTTCTTTCTATTTTTTTAGTATAAATACAATTTTCTTTTTTTTTTTTAAACTAAAGGAGAAGAAAAAACGGAAATTTTTTTTTTGTAATCGTGCTGGACGCATTCGCTGTATGTTATTTTGTTTTCTAATACCAGTATTTTATTATTTTTTTTTTTTTTGCAGTTTAACACCACATACAAGATATGGTTCAGTTCGTTGTCGTTTCGCACTTATTTTCATGTTCTGCGTGTGTTTTGTTATTATTTTCCAGTGAATATACAGAAAGAGCAGCGAGATAAAAACATCAATCTTTAGGAAAAAAGAAGAAGAAAAGAAGAAAAACATTTTTTTATGGAGACAAGGAAGTATACGACAAAAAACTGAAAGTAAAAACAAAAAAAAATCTAAACAGACGATGTATCAAAATCATGATAAATAGAGTGTAATGCATCCGGTCTATCAACATAACAATTGAAAGCTCAGTAAATGCGTGACTTTAAGCATGAAACTTATGAGTTAAATAAGATGATTACAAGAAAATTTCTGTTTAGATTTTAAATTGGTATACAAATAATTTAAATAAAAATATTATTTAGGAGAAATTTTGTTGGAAAAGTGACTAAAAAAACATATAAAAGTCGAATATTAAAGTTATTTTTCGTTTTATCACAAATCATATCGACATATTTCGTTTGATGACAGAAAAAAAAGTAGTTAGATTCTTATAAAACTTTTCTACATTTGGAAAAGTCTGTAATCAAAACTTGATATTTTTTCTATTTTTTGTTCTTTTTCTCTGTCTGACATTAGCGAATCATTAGAATTGGCAAAGGACTAATGTAAAGGAAGAACATAGTACAAAATTTTATATATGATTATCATCCGCATTGTCTAGAAGATAAAAAGCGAAAAAAAGACTTCTCTAATTTTTTTAGTCTCGAAGGGTACCCGTATGAATCGGCAATTTTACAGATTTTCTCTTTAGTGTTTTATTTTTTTTATTCAATGTTTTCGTTTGCCGTTGAAATGACGTAAATCTAAAAAAAAAATCATTGAACTTTACATTCCGAGCATACATGTTATTTTTTGAGTTTTCTATTATTTTTCACGAAACAAACAGTAGTATATTGTCCGATAGAATTCATTTGATGAGAAAAAAATTAAAAAGAGAAATGTTTCTATAGTTAGATTTGTAATCTTGTTCATAAACAAATTATGATTATGTTTCTCTATCATATTTCAAGTGATCATTTAAATTCAAGTTTATTGAATTGATGATTATCAATATATTAGAAAAATAAAACTTCATGTTGTTCTTCATACACACACACATGACTTTGGATTTCATGTATACATTTGATGTAGAACACAGATTAAAGATGACTTCCTATTCTTGTTCACACTCATTGTATCTGGCTTATTAACTCTATATATTTGGCATCTCTCTTCGTTCTTATTATATTCTTTCTTCTCAAGGATATAACAGGGACAACAACAAAAAAAATAAGAAAAAAGAAGTAATACTAGAAAATTAAATCGACATATTCACGCTTTCTATGTTGAAAATAAGCCAAAAAGTGTGAAAGATAGACACAAGACACAAGAAGAGAGTATTATTTAAATAGCATTTAAGTTGAGAATAATATTTAAGTCGAGAGACGGGAAAAAGAAGAATTAACATTTCTTTTTTTTCATCATCATCATCATCATCATCATCATTCCAAAAAAAATATCTCTCATCTATAATGTAATAATAAGAAGTGAAAACAAAGAAATCTAAATATACAAAAAGAAAAACTTAAAAAAAAAAGAAAAAAAAGGCGATTAATATCAACATTTTTATAAAGAACAAAAATAAATAAATAACACCATGATCTTCAATAAAAATATGAAAAAAGTTTAACAAGTTTCTTTCGTCAATAACAGTTATTAGAAGTTCTTTATTAAGAACGTTAAAAATTTAATTTAGATCGGAGTTAATAGAAATCTACACTTAATTAATAAGAGAAGTTCAAAATTTTTATTTTATTCGTAAACAAACATCTTCAATGTAACGAATATTTATGTGTTAAATCTCTCGATTTCATGAGGTGATCTAATATTTAGAAAAGCTATTAAAATAAGAAATTGTTTAGTCAGATAAACACAAAATTCAATTGATTTGAAATAATTTCTTTGTAAATATTTTATATGAATTTATTTTTATATCCTTGATATTTGAATTCGAAAATATAAAGTTATTGTAAAGTGTATAATGTTTATCGACATAAGTTGATCGATATTATGATGATTAACGGAAAATACAGTAGAAAATCACACACATACACAAACATATACCAAGATTCTGAGTAGAAAAAAGGAGTTAATGTATTCTTTCATTTGTTAGTTTTTCTTTCCTTGGAGAAAGACTATTTAACCAGTGACAAATACATAAAATCTATGTATCTAACAGATCGATATTTTAATAGTTGAAAAAATATCATTATCACCATATAAAATGGGACTAGTATTTAGATGGAAAACTATTGTATTAGATCGTTTAAATGATAAGTTCAAAGGTCATGAACTGGTAAAACAAAGTCTAACTAAATAGAAAGAAAAAGCGACAAAAACCTATCAACTCTAATAAATAACTATGAAAAATAGGGTAGTAAAAAAGAGACAAAACTTTGTGGTGAAAGAGCTGGGGTTTCCTGTTGACTACTACGTCAACACTATGTTGCATGATAAAGATTAATTAAACACAAGTTCAATATTTCGACAAAAACTATTCGATAAAACTTAAAAGAAGAAAATAACTAAATTGAAGTAATTCGATCTTTAGTAAATTTTATCAAATTATCATAATACAGCAGCATTTCACTTCAACATTGTCGTTTTTTTTTTTTGTTAAAATATTGTACAAGTAATCGTCTAAATATGCTGCGAGCAAGTGTGTCGGTTAGATATGCATTGGACTATAGACCAAAAAGAAAAAAAATCCGACACTTTTTCCATGCCATCAAGGTCCTTTTTTTTTATTCTTTCGACACTCGTTATCTCACTGACATATTTGTTATGCTTATATGTATGATAGTATCAATGTTGAATGAAAAACCCATATTCTGTAATAACATTAAAAAAAAAAACCAACAACAACAATAAAAGACATTTTCTTTCTTTTTGAGTAATGCCCTCCTTTTCACAGATACATTTATTTAGAAATTTTCTATTTTAAAAAGACTCGAACCATTTTTTTTTTCCCTTCTTTATCTTCCTATTCATAATTCATTTCCGTATGCATAGAAAACGAGACTAACAATTAAACCTGTACAAATATTAAAGCACGATTTATCCATTAATGAGGACAATCACATCTATTCGTCTAACAAAATATAAAATAAATAGAAATACCCGATTAAAAAATGAGAAAAAATGAATTATTAAAAATAAGTCGAGTACAGACACATTGTCGATTATTACCAAAAGACGAAGAAGAAGAAAAGAAAACAAAAAAATAAAAGAACATTTGTCGAGATCTTATTTAAACTAAACAATCATTAACAGAAAAATATATGAAATGTTTTTTTTTCATTCTCGATCTTCCCTTCTCTAGTCCTCTCGTACTTACCGATCAACAATAAACTAAAAAAATGATTTATTTAATAGTGAAAAAAAAAAAATTGAATAGTAAATTATTAAATAGGCTTTTACGATAATAAACAACAGATCAGTACTTTATCAAATGAACGTTCGTTCTATCCGTGATATAACCGTAGAATATAATGTAATGGTAAAAAACTAACCATTTTAAAAAATAAAAATAAAAAAAGATTCTTCTTTTTTTTTGGTTTTTCTCTCGGACTTATTAGATGAAATTAGTTTAATTGTGTGAGTGGGAAGGAAATGGAAGCTACGATATTTTTATCCTTTTTTTTTTTCTCTCATTAAATATACTTTCAAAAAAAAAAAGAAGAAAAACATAACAAAAAAAATAATAATAACACGAACATCTCTTACATCTAATTAAATTGAAAAGAAAGAATTATAATATCCAATAACGATGAAAGAGTACATACCATTTAGAAATCGAAATTTTTGTCAACTAAGTGATTAGGCAAAAAAACCTTCGCTTTTTATTAAAAAAAAAATTGAGAAGAAGCATGTAAAAGAGAAAATGACTATATGAAACATCTGTTATGATGATATGCTTTTATTTTTCAAAGTACGATCTGTTGCCTGCTTTTCCGCTAAACAAAATAACAAAAAATAAAAAAGGAAAAGGCGAGAAGAAAAGTATGATCGATACTGTTACAGATTGTATTTCGTAGAAAAAAAGTCTATCAGATTACTAATGTTTTATTTATTTATTTATTCATTTTACAAGAGGTATAGTCACGATTTAATCATAGTTTCATATAACTAAACTTCGACACTAACTCTGTAGAATATAATTTTTGTTTGATGCATGAAGAGAGAAACATTAAACGTTTTCACAATATTCAAATTCACAACTTTCCATTTCTATCAAGAATATACATTCACAATGAACATTTTTTTTTAGTTTATCAGGCGAACATGTCACTTTTTTTCCTTGATAAATCCTCTCCTATTTCGTCTTTCATGATTCTACTAGTAGTTAAAATATAATTTTGACAAGAAAAAACG